ATCTAGCTTAGTTTAATATTAAGAACTATTTTTGAATACAACTTAAAACGTATGAGGGTTACACCAAGTTTTGAACACGCCACTAAAATGCAAAGTTGTTTTAGATGTGAACATTTCAGACTGATCACAGGGCCTATGTCTACACACGCACTATAGGTCTACACAGGCCATAACACATTTCAAGTTATTGTATTGTCCTTGTATGTGTACTACAAAAAAAAATAATTCTTAAACCTACCAACTTTGCATATCTTATCAATTACAGAGTTTAAAAAAACAAAAATAACAAAACAAAACACAAAAAAACAACACAAAATACGTCCTGTATATATGCGTGCTGCCTAAGTTGCCTTAACGGCTTTTTTCTTGTTGACTCAAGACAACCAATTTCATGCTGTAATGGCACCTTGGTCATCTTAGCATTTATAATAGGAAGCGTGCCTATTTATTCTTGAGTCCTTCTGTGTATTTTGTTAGGGTTAGGTTAACTTATGTAATTTAGGTTGAAGTGCACACACTATTGATTAATTAAGCCTAAAATACGTAATAATGAAAGATGGCAATAAAAGTGTGAAGCAGTCAGTTTATATAGAATAGATTTCAATCATATTAGAATGGAGTACCTTTTTTTTTTATTTGTAATACTCTCATTCTCAGTTTGCTTGTTACCGTGTAGATCTAGAATCACTAGATTTGATACATTTTACTATTTACATGAATAATTTTTAATAAATTTAAAATATAGATCTAGTATCGATCAATCTAGTTTTTAATCTTCTTTAAACTCAAAATCTTAGCGCTATATCAATATATATTTATTTTTTTTAATGTCATTAACGTCAGTGCCGGTTTTATGACTGTTTATTCATGTTGCTGATGCAATCTTACTCAGCCGACCAATACGTCGGTGAATTCACGCACAGCCGGTATGTTATATTTCTTGTATTGGGGCGGATCTACCAATGAAATAACTCGAACGACACAAAACAGCAACCGGGTCACGTAGGACTAGTTTTTCCTCCCCGGGAAGAAACGGCTGATGCAAGCTCTTGTAAACGCACAGTCTATATAAGTAACGACGAACAATGTTCGCTCTCCATTCTCTTTAACAGCCAAGTACTAATTCACATCTTCAACATTTATTTCTTTGGTCAAGATGAGCAAATCTAACCGCACTACTAAAGCCTGTGTTATCTCGTCTGGTCTGCTGAGTGTTTTGCAATCGGAACTTTTATCGATACCGCTGTTGTTACAACCGTCGAAAATACGAGAGAAATAGCATTGGCTGGCCAACATGGTGCTCTGAAAAGAAGTCAAGATGGGCACATTTTTCAAGTTTAAATTTGTGTAGTTTTCATTGTCAATTGTAATCAAGTTAGCATTTTATTTTAATTATCGTGTGTCATTTTCTTTGGATCTCGTTTGGGCTTAATTTGTTGTTTTTTAGTAGAACCAAAATCTAGATCTTATTATTCTTATTACAATATAGATCTATATCTAGTGTTTATTACCGGTATTCTAGATCTTATATTGACATTGTCCGTGGATTTTGTGTGTGTCTATTCCTGTGATCGCTAGGACTGTATTTCTATATTCTATATTGACTATATCTGTTCAACTTTTGGGAATCTCGTGTTATTCAGTAGAACAATCTAGAATCTAGTTCTATTATCTATCTATACTACTATATAATCATTTCTTATATTGGTGTACTGCAATCTCAAGCAAGTTTCTTAGTATTATTGAAGATCTACAGTATTAGTTTCTTTAGTAGTATTACTAAATTATTTAGATCTACATTAGAAAGAAATGGGTCATCTAATGAAAAATATTTTTGGAAATCATGTTTGGGCTTCATATTATTGTGAGGTAGGTTTCAAAAGAACAAACCTTTAAACTGCTAACAATTACAAAATAAATAAATTGGCTTGAAATAATAAAACCTTGATTCAAATCTTTTTTCGAAACTGTCTAAAGTTTATAATATAGACTAGATACAAGCTATCCCACAGTTAACAATGTTATAATGCCAGATCTACATATCTAGATCTCTATATTTTTTCTGTAATGTTTAATATTATAGTAATGAACAATAAATTATATTCCAAACAAATCTTATTTAGTTCCCTAGACAAGATTTAAATCTAGAACTTTCCCACACACTTTAGTAACATAATAATTAGAGCAATGTCTTCCAACAACCATCAGTGTCCCTAACACTAACCCAATATGAGTAAAATGTGTTTTAATAGAGAAAATGTTTGTAAAAATGCACTTTTTTAATTTACTATTTTCTGTTTTGTTTCTAGACCCACAGTGTTTTTATGGATGCTTTTATTCAGAACAACCGCCTCGACCACGTCAGTCAAGTCATGGGCTACCATCCAGATTACCTGAGGAATTTCCTGACCACCCAGAATTACCTTTTGAGGGAAGATGGACCACTACCTTATGACTACAGGCATTACATTGCTATCATTGTAAGTGCTGAGAGGATAAAATTAAACACAAGACTAATATGCAGCAGTTTGGTGCAGCCATTTTGGCACTAGAAATTCTGATAATTAAAAAAAAATAATTTATAATCCTTTTTTTCCCCCCTGTACAGTATAGTACATATTGTATACAATGACACACCCCTACCTCCAAACAAACTTTGATAGATCAGTTTTCTATTTCTCTAAATACACACATGTGCGCGCACACACACACTATTTCAAGCTATTTAATGAAAAGGTTGAGAAACACACATACATACATAAAATGATAAACCACATTGTTTAAAGGAGAAAATAAACACCCACATTATAAGTGAAAACAAGAATTACACTACAAACTTGCATTCAAAATCTAATGGATACAAATAACTATTGTTCATCAACTAAAAAATGATAGAACAAATGCATGAATACAAAACTGATACATATATGATACATACATATGTATGTATATAATGTATATTCTATTTTAAGATACAAGAAAAGGAACACACAATGTGTCTTAAACAAAATGTCTTGCAAAAAGGTTGCAGTGCCAAAATGTCCTGCTTCCTATTGAATCTAAGTTATTAACACATTCACCTATGTGGTTTTGTACTGTGCTGATTTTTTTTAACATTTCAAAATACATTATTTTTTACTTTTATTTTTTTTTTAAATCTGTTTAAATACATTTGACTCACAAATTCTGTGCTTCAAAATTGAAGAGTTTCTATTCTGTATTACTTGCAGGCTGCTGCTAGGCATCACTGTATATATTTAGTAAAGCTACATGAACAAGAGTTTTTGCTGAGAAATGGCAACCCTGAATGGTTAAAAGGTATTGCATATGCTCCAAGAAAGATCCAGGATCTTTATGAAATCAACAAAATTCTGGCTCACCGTCCTTGGTTGATCAATAAGGAACACATGATGGTAACTTGATTTTAATTTGTCCATATCTAGATCTATAAGGTACAGAATGCAAGGGGAAAAAATTGATAAATATTTATTTATATTTTTTCCCCCCAGAAACTTCTGAAAACTCCAGAACCATGGTCTCTGTCAGAGTTAATGCATGCCATCATTCTTCTGACACACTTCCATTCTTTGTGTTCCTTTGTGTATGGCTGTGGCATCAATGCTGAGCTGGACATTGATGGATTCACATACAGCAGGTCATCCAGTTCAAGCAGTGATACAGATTCCAACAGTGAAAATAATGAGGTTGGAGAGACCTCAAATCACAGTCACGCCCAGGTATAAATAGCTACTAAATCAACCAACCAGCTGCTTTGTGTAGATTATCTAATCTTGTTAAACTGAGCTTACTTAAAAATTGTGATTGAAAGTTAAGTCTAGTTATGGCATGAGACTATTAGTTAGTAAACAAAGTTACCAAATAAGTTCCTTCAATCATATTTAAATATTTAAAGCTGTATGTTATAACTTTCTTGTCAGTCTTTTTTCTTTCTCTTCTCTGACATCATTTCCATTTAAAACACTCATTCGAATCACTCAACAGTCAAGATGCATTTCATTATGATTGTTACCATAAATCTTCACTTCCGTGTGCTGTGTTATTTTTCCTTGAACCAGTTTTTCAATACTTTGCTGTGCATTCACATTATTTACCTGATAGAAATAGACACTTACTAGTTCTGAAATTTTTAAAAAACTTCCCATGGTTAATTTATTTTATCTAAACAATGTCCTCTAATATGTATAATGTTCATTGTTTTTCAGCAGATGTCCAGAGATGAAGGTGTGGGTCTAGAGGCCCTGATGGAAAAAATGAAAAAATTGAATGAAATGTCTTTAGAAGAAACTAGCCAGGAGGAGCTGTTGAAACGTTTCCACAGTGTGGAGCACCAAAGTGCTGAAAGTAAAGATCTTGTTTTTACTAGTGATAAATTCCATTTAGTATTTATTTTCAGTAAACATTAAAAAAAATAACAGTACTAAAAGGTGTGTATTGAATCAGCTTTAGCTTTCAGAATCTATTTTGATGCGTATAATATTTAGTTTTTGTGGGATATCTTCATCTGGAATCAATTCTGCTACAATTTATTTTAAGAGCACCTTCAAACATAATAATAAAAAAAAGGGGGATTTAATTACAGTTTTATTTACTTTCATTTTAGGTATTTACTAAACATGCCCAAGTCATGAATGATTCCTACAATACCTAATGTTAAACAACCTGAAGAATTTATTGTTAGCTTTATTCTAATTGTTCACTCATGTACCAAGTTGTTTAGCTATATTAGTCTTTACCATGTTGTTGTTTTTTTATCTTGTTTTAGTAACAGTGCCAAACAGTAAGAAATCCACTCCCAGGTCTGAGTTGATGCGCTATGTGTTGGATGATGAGTTCTCCTACACAGACTTTGTCACGCAGGACAAGGTGAATGAGGTGCCTACCTTCCGAGCTTGTGATTACTCTTGGGATGACCACGGGTTTTCACTTGCTAACCGGCTTTACACTGATATAGGCAATCTGCTGGATGACAAGTATACTATGGCAGCCAACATGACCTATTATACGTAAGTGAAGTGATATCTACATTAGTGTAACAGTCCCCCCACCCCACCCCTCTCCATATTCAAAACCCAATTCTTCTTTTTGTTGCCAACTTTTATGTAGGTGTGTGGTCAACATAATGACCAACTCAGTTTACTGAAAGGCACAATGAGCTTGTTACCTTAAACCTTGAATTAAAGTTTCAGATATCTCCCAAAAGAACTGCCACTCTGTCCTTTGTCATAATTAGTACATCTTCCTAGGAAGAAGTGAGAGTAATATATTCCTTATTTTATAAAATTATTTTTTCGTTTTAATTTTAGTATGGGAGATAACCGAGAGGTGGACACTTCATCGTTTCGTAGAGCCATCTGGAACTACATTCACTGCATGTATGGCATACGTCATGACGATTATGATTATTCGGAGGTAAGTGTACATAAGCTCAATTCGTATATTTTCTTAAGACACAGTGAATTATATAATAAATCTATAGAAGATTGTTGTAAACTGTGATTGACATATTTATAAATCCCCTCATTCCAGGTGAATCAACTTCTGGAGAGAAATCTTAAAGCTTACATCAAGACATTGACCTGCTACCCAGAACGTCTTCAGAAGAAAGATTATGATGGTGTGATGAGAGAATTTAAACATTCTGAAAAAGTAGGTTTGGTTTTTTAAATGGGAATTTCTTTACTTTAACCCTGGAAGAGAAAATATATCTACAAGAAATTTTCATTTGAAAATTTTTCTATTAATCTTTTAGGTGCATGTCAACCTTATGATAATGGAGGCTCGCCAACAGGCTGAACTACTGTATGCACTTCGAGCACTCAATCGCTACATGACATAGAGACTATTTCATCTCAAGACTTCTACAACTTCTTTCACCTACATTCAAGACACCAGGCATAATTGTGGACAGTGGGTCCAGAAGTTCAGTCATGCTGTGAGTGTTGGAGCCTTCTGTGGGGAGGGCGGCTTAGTGATACTGCTATGATATATAGCTCCATTGGTGTTCTCTGCCCATCAGCTAAATGGCAACTGTTGATTCAATGTTTCAGAAAAAACAAATGTTCTTTATTTAAATCAGCTCATTCTGTTGAGACATTTGTAATAAAATATTTGACTTGCATTTTTGGTATTCATTCACAACTATATACATTTATATTATTTTTTTTTTTACAATATTGTGACTTCCTGTTTTTAGTGCTCCTCAGTTTGTGTCTCAGTCAACAGAATTTAATAAAAGTTTAACTGAAATATCATATTTGACCAATTTGCATGACTGTAAAAAGGAATCAAATATAGCCAGAAATTTACTCTATTGTCAGACGTCAAAACCATATAAATTGTTTGTATTTTTGTATATAATGTCCAAGAAATACATCTGTGCGAACATAAACAAAACAATGTCATGACAACACCATAAGAAATTTTAAACTTATCTTGGGTCTATTAAATTCTGAGCTGAAATATTTCTGGTAGATATTTTGTCTCAGTCTGAGCTACACACTTCTTTATATTAAAGAAGTAGAAACAAAGGGGAAAACATTTTTGCATTTCTTTAAAATGATAATGGATTTGAAAAAAAAAATTATAATAGACATTGACTGTACAGTTTCTACTTGGTTAGATTCTATTTGTAAATTATATTAAACATTCAATGTGAGCATCTGTCTACATGTGTACATAGTGAACTGAACACCAACTGGAGTGGACTGTGTACATTTTGATTCTCTGTGCAATGCCCAATTCCTATATTCTATTATCAAATGGGGGACAAGAGGTGGAGAAAGTTTTATACCAAAATGAATTTTCACCTTTTTTTTTTTTTAATGAACAATTTTTTTTAATGTTTGGATTTAATACTGTTGATATTATAATTTGTTATTAATTGGCGGTGATAAAGCTGTCCATTGATATGAAACAAAAAAGATCCCAGCATGGTATTGCTCTGAGAAATATTTAATACCTGTATGTTAAATAACTGAAGTTGGACAATAACACAGTGATTGCCTGTTAGAGCTTTGTCATTGCATAATTTGTTTAGCATTAACAACCTGTATAACAATGGCTTCCATCTTACTCAAAGAGAAGGTCTGGTGAGAACTTTAAAAAAAAAAAAAATAATCATTGATGATGGCCATCACATCACCAGATCATGTCACCCTCAACTAGCCATTGGGAGGGGGAAACTCTGTGCAGCCTAAAAGTCTTTCAACCCATGCAGTGGTGCTGAAACCATTTTTTATAAATTTCAAATTGTGTCCTATTTGTGACCCAAGCTGTTTGTATGAATGTGACCAATGCACCATTAGACGCATGGTTTTCTACATCGTGAACAATTTGTTTTATCTTATGACCATTTTTGTTTACATGTTTCTTGTATTTTTTGTTCTCTTATTTTCCTGAATAAACTGTTAGGAGCTCTTTATGTTGGGTTAGAACTTAACAAATTGTTTGGGAAACTCTTGTGTCTATGTTACATTTTGTTTTGTTTCAATTCTGAGTTATTGGTGAACTACTCTAGAAGCATGACAACTGCAACCTTCTAGTGTGTAGCTATTCAATCAGCATAGTCTCCAGGGTTGTTTGTTTTTATAAAGTGGCCAAGAAGTGGTCATTAATAACCAGAAGAAAAAAAACTGTCTTTGTAGATGCTTAGAAAAGTAAAGCCATGTTATTGTGTATGAAGTTGTATCAGCCTGGTTGGGGGGGGGGGGGGGAGAGGAGGACTTGAACAATTCCTTCTTGGAACCAAAGAAAGCTGTGAAGTGTTCTTCAAACAAAAAGTGATATACTGCTTTCACTCAGGGTTTTCAGACTTAAAATGCAGCATGCAGATTTGATGTTGAAGGTTAGGGTTAGCCCACATTCTGTTCTGGGGGACCTGCAGATGCTGTCACTTTTAGTTTGCAAATTTCTAATTCATACAAGCTACATTTTGTTTGGTCTTTAATTTTATATTTATTTATTTATATTATTTGTGTGCATGTTGATTCCAGGGTTAGGCATCTTGCTATTTTCTAGTCTTTTTGTCTTGTTTGAACTTGTAGATGAATTGCTGGAGCTGTGCAATGACTTGATGGGAGGGGAACCAGCTGATGCCAGTATTACATTGCCATTGAGGCAGACCAATATGTTTGTCATTTCTTGGTCATGATTTTGTTTTTCTGGAGTGAATGTCATGCTTGATGTCATGTTGTTTTTTTTTAATCCATTTTCTTACCTGGTGACATGTCAAGGTCACTGTCAAATGTTTGGAAAACAAAATAAAATTATTGCTTAGTATAATTGGAAATGTTAGTCTTGTATTTTTGTGTGCGTCTACAGCTATAGTTGTTTTTTTTAAAATGTCTATGGTTAATATCCAAGTAGTTTACAAGTTAGAGAAAGGAAAATAAACTAAAAATCTACAACTTTGTGAGATATATTTATTTCATTGAATTCTTACATTTTTTTTTTTTTTTGCACAAAGAAATTGTTTAAAAATAACAGTCTTGAGAATGAACTTCCTTAAAACAGGGGCGATCATCATCTATCAAAGTTGTAGTCTGAGATAATTACGTATGGTAATACTAAACAACAAAATATGGTATGTAATGTAGTGAATAGGCAGAAATTGTATATCAGCACTATCCAGGCTTTTGTTAAGTAGCTCACCTTAGTTCAAAATGGATATCCTCCAGACAATGGATACACATAGACATGTGGAGTAACAGTGATGCCAATAGCAACATTCTAGATTTATTTCCAAATGTAGAATAGAAAACGGCTAACGGTAGATATCTTGTGATCTTTAAAAACGTTTCAAAAATTGAATCAGATCTATTGACCAAATGAACTGTCCCTTTTCTTTCAGTTTTTGTCCGCCGAGCTAGTGTTGGAAGGGAAAACTTCCCAACTGTCAACAAATCAAATACAAAATTAAAGCTTTGGCTTAGAGGCAAGTTTTTAGTCCAAATTAACAAAAAAAAATAAATTATCCAGTAAAATGAAAACAAAACAAGGTTACAAAGACAGTTTGTGTGGAAACAAAGACAGTTGTGTGGAAACACAAACTCTAAATCGGCCCCCGAAGTGGTTCATCCAGGCAGGTTTTAATATTTTCAAAAAGAATATCAATGAAATTCTATCAAAAGCAAATGACAGAAAAGAATGGAGAAAGAAGGTTGACAGATCCTGTGTGGTCCGACAAAGGTCCAGCAGACCAACAGATAGGTGAAAGTGAAGTTAGATGTGAACCTGGCCTAACCGATTTCATATAATGATTATCTTATTGATCTAAATGTTTTGTATAGGGTCAATCTCTTATTCAAAACCTAAAAAAAAAACAACACATTTCGTTAAAAAAAAAGATTCTTAGTTTAGTGTCTCTTCAATGCTATGGTGCCCTGCTGTTATCGCGATAATATGAAAAACTACTTATTAATAGTTGTTTTTAATTATGTTCCACTTATATGCATATTAAATAGATTTTTTCTCTTTGAAAAAAATAGTAACCATTTTTTTAGCGGCCCCCGAAATGGGAAAAGACGCTATTAGTTTTGTGTGGCCTGTCTGTCCGTCCGTCCCGTTTAGATCTCAGAAACTAGAAAAGAAAATGAAAATCGGACATCATGATGTTTTAGATCATTCAAAGTTCTGATGCAACGGCTACTTTTTTCTTTCCAAAAGTGAACCATCTAATTTTAAAAATTATATATGCAAGCAGATTTAAAAAAAAACAACACTACTTTCAAAGGAAAAACTTCAGGGGAAGTGAGTCTTTTAAAAAGGTCACAGGCTTCTTCATTAATAAATCAAGCTTCATTCATACAGCATTAGGTCACAGGTATCAACATATTTTCCATTTATTAACTAACTCATAGAATAGAGTACTGATTCAAATGTGTTTAAAAAGAATTTTAATACGAGCTTCGTTTCAAGTGTAAGCTTTAAAAAAAACGAACTACTTTTATAGCGCGCAGTTTTCACATATCCTCATCCAATTAGGTTATACACTTGACAACAATCTAAATTACAATAAATAGAGGCCAGACATAGATCTAGATTTAATTGTATTAGACAATTTGAACAAAATTTACATTTATAATCCATTAAGAAAATAGTTTATCTTCTAATAGCTTAGGGGGTGCAGATTTATTTATTATTGTAAGCAGTAGTATATGATAGTATCACACCAAGAGGCGAACAGCATAAGTGCACTATGACCTAGTAGTAGGTCTACTAATCCCGATCATAGCATTGACCTAGATCTAGCAGATCTAGATTCTATTTCTTTAAATTTCTATATTTCTAGATCTAGTCTAGATTCTAGTCTACATTAGTATAAATTTA